ATTGTTCTTTATGCTCAGAAAAATTTGGTGCATTACACATGATCTATGGAAAGTTAGAAGAGGTCAGATACTTTTGATCGCTACTGTAAATTATTTTTAATATAATATTTTATCTAACTTATTCAAGAATAAGTAAAATCTTAAAAGAATTATTATAAAGAATATTTCTAAATTAAATATAAAGTAATTAGAAATTAAAATTAGTAAAATATTAAAGAAATTATAATTAAAGAAAGAAAAATTAATAATAATTAATTAGAAAATTATTAATTTAATAAAATTATAACTTAAATATAATATATATAATTAAATTAATAAATAAAACTAAATATAGATAATAAGATAAATTAAAAATAGAATTATAAATAAATTAAATTAATTATTATTAATTTTTTATATTCTTGATTTGAAAGTGATCATTAATTACATTATATATTATAACTATATTATATTATATCACTTATAATAGTCAATTAGTTATAATATAATATAATATGATATAATATATCATAACATAATATGATTGATATATTATAATATAATTATTATATTTAAGTATAATTAATAAAGTAATAAAATTATTATATCTATAATAATAGTTAAAAAAATTATAAATAATATATATATCTTTACAGTAATTATTATAAGTAATGAAAATTATTATTATAGCTATAAATTTCATAAATTTTATTTATTTGACTTATAGTTTTACAGAAATATAGATTAAATATAAGTATTTAAAAAATATATATATATTAATAATTTATTTTTTTTATTATTTTCAATTATTTTATTTATATGATCTGATATTTTCTTTATCAGGTTAAGATATAAATTTATGATAATATTCTTCTATTCCTTTCTAATTAATCTATACCAATAACTAATGCTAATTAATTTTTTTTTCATTCTATTTTATTAACTTATTTTTTTATTCTTTTCTTCGATTTGATTGGTTTACCCTTAAAAAAGTCACATGATCTGGTCTTTTTACGTTGTTACATCGAATTTTTAGAGATTGAATATTTTTCAAAAATATCGAGAGTATATGGAATTGAAAGGTTTACTGAAAAGGAGACAAATTAACTCTTCAAATTCGGAAATATCTGCGGAAATTTTGGACGAAGAAGGTAGCTAATGAGATAATTCGTTATTTTTATATTAATTCATTTATTTTTACGTCTCTTTAAAGAACAAGAGCAATTAGTTATAAGTTTACGCAGAGAGAATGATAGGGCTAATAGTTTCTTTAAGGTAATAATGATTCTCTGATTTGTTTTTCTATCAGCTGAGTGCGTTTCTAACTTTATATTTATTTACCAAAAGGGAGCTTTGACATTACTTTCCGGATTACTTGCAACAGTGTAAGGACTGTTAATTTATTTATATATAATGTGATTATAATTTTAACCGAATTCAATTCAAAAATAGATATTTTTTCTTTTTATACGATCTAACAAGAACCCCATTATTGCCTCACGCAACACCATCAACCACATCACTAATACCATCAACCAATGCTTCCGGTTCATCATTTCCTCTGATATCAACACTGCTATGCATCTTTACATTGCTTTTCTCAATATACATTCTGCAATCCCGACAATCGACAAATATTCTAATAATTTTTGGAATTGTAATCTCGTCGTTTCCGTTTTTGCTGGCTATGAACGCTGAACATTTTATGCAAAAATTGTGGTGGGGAATACCGTTGGGAAATCTACTTATTAACTCTTTAGCACTATATTGGATTTGGAGTTCGGAAAAAAATATTTCTAGTTTGGAAAAATTAAAGTACCGGTTGAAGGGCGCGTAATTTGTGTTGTAATATCAATTATGATTAATCTTAAGGTTTTCTAAAAATCAATACTTTGGAATATATAATTATTGATAATGCAATGATGGGAAGGTCACGAGTCTTTTGTGTGCAACAATTTTTTGTGATGTACTCACGTCTAGTATTATGTGATTGAGTCACGTATATTTTATAATATATTTATGGTTTTTTTTCTTATCGGTAATTGATGCGTTCCAATTGAGATGGACATGATGAAAGAAGGGGTGAAAGAAAAAGTTTTTTATACTTCAATGATAATCATCCGCGTTATTATTATATCAAAATCAAAAATCAAAAAAAAAATATAAAGTGGTAAGTTTTATTTATTAATAAATTAGATAAGCCCAATCATCCAACATTTCCTTCTCGCAAATTAAAACATTCTATAGGTCAGAAATCAAAAAGATCTACCGTACGGTCCGTCCAGGAAGGATTATGTATTGCAGAAAGAATTCGTGGTCTCAACATACAATGGAAGATTATTATCCCAATTCGTAAATTTAAGGGTAATGATCAGGCTCCTGTAGAATGGTTACATGATTTCAAAGTAGCCACTGGAGCCAATGAAATTAATTACTGATGAAAGAAAGATTGAAATACTAAATGGGACTACCGTAAAGCGTTCTGCATAGTACCCCTCCCCTGTAAAACTTTATACCTTAATTTAACCTCAAGGTTTGTAAATTATTAACTAAGGTTTTTAAAGAAATTACACTGTGAATTTAATTTATTTATTGTTAATTTTATTAAAAAAGATGGATTAAATTAAGGTTTGAATTTTTTAAATTTTTAAGGGGAAGATACTATACAGAGCGCTTTACGGTATGTAAAGTTGATATCTTTGAAGGAATGTTTATTCGAAAAAATGACATGTTAACAACGGGGGTTTTGATGTCTCATTCTTACCCCGTTCAACATAATATATAATATAGTTGACATCAATAGCCAATCAGCTGTTTGTATTTTGCGCATAAGAGCTCATTGTTGATAACTATGAGAGCGGATGAACTTGAATTCAATAATATAAACCATAAATCCCTGTAAAAAATATCCGTATTTTTCGATTTGGTACGTTTAAAATTTTTATTTTTTCCAATTTTACTTCGGAAATTATTTCTAATCCGATGAGATAACGTATATCTACTATTATAAAAAATTTAGTAATAAGAGATGAATCAGATTAGCTAATTTAAAAATATTATATACAAATATTTCTGGAGCAATATTTCTTAATATCATAAATTTCAATAACACACGGAATTTTGTTGAATTGGAGCTCTTAAAAAAAGAACACATAAAAATTATTTATAAATAATAATCAATAAGCAATTTTAAAAATAATTTTAAAGAAATATATTTTAGTTTTTATTATAATTTATTATTTTTATTAAAACATTTTTATTGATATTTATTGAATAAAAATAAAAATAAAATATATTTCTTTAAAATATTTTATATTTTCTTATTTTTTTTAGTCTTAATTTAATATTTTTAATATAAATTCCAAGGATAATATTATATTATTGAAATTTGTAATATTAAAAAAAATTCTAAGAATATTTCTACAAATTTTCACTATTTTTTGAGTTATTATTCATGAAAATATATTTTTTATATTTAATTATAATTATAATAAATAATAATATATTAGATTTTATTATTTATTAATAAGTATTAATTAGTAAATTTTCATTATTTTTTTTTAATTTAGTATTTTTATTATAATAATTTTTTTAACTTGACTTTTATATTCTTCTATATTTTTTTAATAAATCTTGAATTTCTTTTTCTTTATAAATTTTAAATTATAAGTTATTTTATAAGTATTAATAAGTATTAATAAGTATTATATAAGTCAGTTTAAGAATTCATGATTTAAATATATAGAATTAATTAATATTATGATTTACAAAATATATTATATTTAAGTTTATATAAATTCTTATCTTCTTTTAAACTAATCAATAAGTTATAATTTATTTTTGCTAGTAAAAATAATTAATTAAGTTATATAATTAATATTTTAATTAAATTATATAGATTATAAATTTTAATAAAATTCAAAAGAAATTATTTACTAATATGATTATATTTGATTAATAATTATCTTGATTTTTTATTTGAATATTCTTTTAATATTTTTATAAAATTATAATAAAAAATCATTACTTAGTAAATAATTTTTAAAATATACTTAACTAATTTTTAATATATTTTAAATAGATTTTCTAATAAAAAGAAATTATATTTATTATGATTATTATATAGCTTAAATCTTAATTTTATAAAGAATATTTGATCAGTTTTTAAATAAAGTATAGAAAAAAGAATGATATACAAAAGCAAAGTGTATTACAAGAGATATTTATTATATTAATAAAGGAGAAATGGAAGATCCTTCCAATATAATATTACTTAATAGTATTCATATATACAAAATCATATTTAAGAATGCATTGCTATGAAAGAAAATCATACAAAATATTAATATTTTATGCGCATAATGTTATAATTATATTTATAAGAAAAATATAGTTTTTTTTTGCAGTGATTATTGATTTTTGCTTTAAAAATCAACCATTATTACTTTCTATCAGAACTGTAGTAGAATCTAATATTATGAAAAAAGTACTTTTGTGTCTCATCTAAAATTATTTTATTTTTGATGCATCAATAAAGCAAGCTCCGGTGACTCAATAATTATGTTTACTTTTGCATATGTATTTCATTATTAAAAATTTTTATGAAAAGCCAATATCTAATTTGAATTAATTTGTGATCATTTAAAATGGTAATATGAATGAACAGAGCATAAAATCAAGGACTCATAAAGACTTAACTTCCGAATATTTGGAATGACATAATAATTTTACTGGATTATCAAGTGTTTTAACAGATAAAATTTGTTCCAAGTTATATAAAAGATACAAGAAAGAAACCAGTCTTGATCCCCGGAAAACAGTGAGATAAAATAAAACCTTAACCCCTGAATATTTGGAATGGCATGCTAAATTAACTGGTAAGATTCGTTCGAGCTTTACATAGAACATATACGGAAGAGACTGGGTTCGATTCCTGGATTCACAAATCGAAATTAATTCGAATCTGTTAGACGAGATTACTGAACTTAAAAAGGAGAATATCAAAATTAAAACTGAGAATGCAGAGTTACAACAGGATTTAGATGAATTTAAAAAAGAACTAGAGTCTAAGAAAAATCGTAAATTTCAGGAAAAATGTATCCTAATAGCTCAAGTATTACTTGGAGAAAAGCCGATAATTGATATCGTCCTTCTTTCCTGAATGGATTAGAACTTGATGCCTTCTTTTAAAAATATCGAATTGCATTAGAAGTACAAGGGGCTCAGCATCGGCTTCATAGCACTAGCTGGTATAAAGATGTTAAAAAACTTGAAATCGTGATCGGTTAAAAAGATGCATATGTCAAGATAACGGAATTTTCTTTCTTGAGGTATGTATGATAAAAAAAACCAGAAATAGTTATCCCCGAGAATACAAAAAAATTAAGGATTTTGTTAATCAAACATTCGAAATTTTCGACCTATAATCAAATAAATTTATTAACTATTCCAGATATGTGTTTAATATATGTTTAATTTATAACATATAATGCACATATATTTTTATCTGCATCTGTTAACTTTATTATGCAACACGAAGAATATCAAATTTTTTCGTGGCGAAAACAGCAAATACTGGATCAACAAAAGAAAGAATTTGTGCAAAAAAACCAAGATATTCTAATAATCAAAAATTGTATTCTGTACTACGGTATAAGAATTTTATTATCCAAATGTCTTTCTACAAATACGTTAATTCGGATTTTCCAATGCTTTGGAGTTGTGCTAAGGTCATGAATGGACTGCACCTCTTGTCAGAATAAAGCATAAAGATAGATGGTGGGATAAACATGAATGATACGTAAAACACTTCCACAAAAATGAAGAATACTTTGAGAAGCAATTAATGCGTGATCAGTTCAAGAGATTGAATTAGATTGTTCTAATCGAAATATGGCATTACGATCCGCGTATAGTTATCTTAAGTTGAAAATATCTAAATTGATTAGTTTTATATTCGTAGTTCATATAAAATATATGTACACAGATCAAAATGCCTATTCATTCAAAAGTTCAACTAAGGTCAATATTTTATAATTTACTGAAAAATTATGTTTAAACCTTATTTTTTAACTCTGGATTCTTGCATTTGCAGAAATATGGCCGAGATAGTATTACCTTGGTTTGTTCTAGGTCCTGGATGTGTTTTATCAGTTGAAATTTGCAAAGAAAAGATGGTTATGACGTTGATATTAACAATCTCACCCATCGATCATCCATCTCAAGACACTGATATGGAATAAAATAAAGTGATATGGAAAATGTCAAGGGTTACATGAATTAATAATACTTTGGAGAGTTGAAGTTCCTCTGGAAAAACTTAGTAATTCTCTTACCAAAAATGAAATTAAACAGATCAGAGGTAGGGAAATGAGCACTATTAGCAAGTTTAGGAAGTTTCTTCGGAAGAATATATGATTCCGGATGAAATCATCAATATAATCATACAATTTCCATCCATTTTCATTACTGATAAGTGTCTCACAATGTTTTACCTCTCGAACAGGGGAATTTGGTAACGCTGGCTAATTTTTCCTTTCTGATCTTTATCACTTTCACACAATAACAACTCAACAGGAATATCAAGGCTAGGTATAAAGCTATAATCTTTGAATTTTGTACAAATGTGCATTTTATTCACTTTATTTTCCTAATTTTCTAATAGGAGGTCTTGGCGGAACAACTTATCCGGAAGAAGAACGTGGTGATGCCTACGAAGGTGTTGATCTTACTCTTGGTACTGTATGTAAGAGAGAATCAACTATTGAGAGACTACTTAAATGCCTGCTTGAGAGTCGTATTATTCTAGTCCGGTCACCACCAATGGCTGGCAAAACTACACTTGCACAACTATTTGAGCATAGTATGCTCCAATCAGGTGAAGTAAAAAAGGGATTGAAGCGTGTTTTCCGCATTTCGTTGCTATGGATGGAAAAAATGAATGAGTTCTGCAAGTGTTATCACTAGCGGTCCTTCTTCGTAATCTTCCTGTTTCTTGGTGTCCAGGTAAGTTGTTTGTCGGTTGTTAAATGTACCGTGCACATTTGCAGAAGGATTTGAAGAGCTTATGAATGTGATTTGGGATGAATTTCTCAAACAATGTGGTGTTAAAACAACATTTTTGATATTGATGAGGTGCAAAAGATTTATAAGCCACAGAATGAAAAGGAACCTTGCCATGGTGGAAATGTATTTTAGGATTCGTTTAAACGCACACTACAATCCTCAAGGCTTTATATTATAGCATTTGCTTCATATGGGCATTATGGTGCCTATACTACTCGTGGAGATCATACAATTATGAATATTTCACCATGCTTTCTTCAAAAAAGCAACACGCGGGAATTTGAAAACGTTCATTTTACCAGAGAAGAATTTAATAGTTACTTTAATAACTTTTGTGAGAAAAATCTTCGAAGGTTGAAAGAAAAGACATTCCGCTTCTTTCTTGCTGTGTGATTGAAATAACAGCTCTCCGTCCCGGTTTAGTTGCCTTTACCATGAACCAAATTCATATGAAATTTGTCAAACATACTTTTGAGTATTTGACGTTTGCAAAAATTTTTGTTTATCGTAAAACTCATGATTTTAATGATCATTTCAAGGTAAATGTATAAATAATTCTCATGACTGAAATACTTACTGCCAATTTTTATATGGTATACTTTTTCTAGAATATTCGTGCAATGCCAAAAATTACTGATATGTCAAATGAAGAAAAGAAAATTGCCGATACTGTACTCTTCAAAAATGGAAGTCTTGAACTTCAGATTATGAATTCCAAATAATATTCGAATTCTTTAAGACAAATATTCTTGTTGATACTAGTTCTGTTTCAAGTATTTCAACCCTTAACTTTCCAGCACCATTGCTTCGAGCAACATATCTTCAAGATCGGTTTGGTTCGGTGTAACACATTCAAGGACTTGGTGTTAGCAAAAATAAACTCTAAGATGTTACAAAAAATCCTGGGTGTAGGTAATGATCTTGAACGTGTAGAATTCTACCGTGCATCAAATGCAGTCATGTGATCTTCCGATTTTCAAAAAGCTGACAAATTTTTCGAATGGAATTAATTTTGTTTTTACGTGATCAAGAAATTTTTGATTCGTCAAGAATATGCTGTGTCTAAAAATAAATAACTAAGGAAATATAGTTTAAATAATAAAAAAATATAGCTTATTTACCTCATTCAAAATTCGAAATGATCGTATATGCTTTTCTTCAATTATATTTATAAAGTTATCATTTATTTCACAGATTTTATGCGCTGTATTTGTAATAGAATTTCATTAAAATTATTCACAGATTTGATAAGTAAATCTTCGTTATTATTAAGATTTTCGATTGCTTGATGACATAAAGATTAAAGAATATGTTGAATTATGACGAATCTAAATTTAAAATAAATTTTTAGTTTTAATTTTTTTATTTAAAATATACCTGATAAAAAACGTAAGAAATTTTGAACCAATTGAAACAACTAAATGTTGGCACAAAAAATCGATTTGTTGCAAATATAGACAAGAACAAATCCAGCATTCACTATTTGTTAAGTACTTGTTGAAAATTGCAAGGTAGTGATGCTAATGAGTTTCATTCCTTTGAAATTCCTTTCATCATGAAGTAATTTGACATCTATAACATAATAATTTGAATGTATCAACTTGCCATGCTATAACCTTGATTATATAATTTATTTCGATTATTAAACAAAATACAAATAAGTAATTAACCTTTTTTCTAATTATAAAACATTAAAGAACCATATGGGGATGATTAAATTTATAAAGAAGATTTCTTTTTAAAAGTCTCTAATGCGACTCAACTATCATTGTTGTACATAGAATTCCAATTTCTTCAAATGATAATTATGCTCAAAGATTTCATTGCTTGGAGAATACCAAAGATATGCCCATATTAAAATAAGATCATTATCACGACAATATTGATATATTTCAGTCATACATTCAATTCAAATTGCTTTTTGATCCTTAACGTTAACAAATATTCATCTTCTTTTGGTATAAGCATATGTCGATTAAAATGCTTCGTTATAAAATTTTTATATATGCATGGTTTCTTTATTAGCAAGTTGATAACTTGATTTTGATTTATTTGTATTTGATTGATCTATTCTATTAAATATAGTTAGCTGTCATAAAGAATTAATCATATTACTAGCATTAATTTGTGATAAATCTTTATCAATATAAAAATATACAAATATTTATCAATTGTCGTGCTTTTAGTACCATAAATCATGCCATAATAATACTTATAATATTACGATTTTTAAATAAATAAGAAATTAGAAATCCTGCATCATCAACAATTGCCATAGCTCCATATAATTCATAGTTAAGATTGTTCGTATTATATGTTGCATCTACCATAAGTTCAGTTAGCGTATTTGATGGCAATATATCAAGAAATATAGTTACGAAAGCAAAAGCATAATTCTCAAAAAAAAAAGTTCTTGATTTTCCTTTTGACCAAAATACTGTAAGTCCATTATCAGAGCATTTATATTCTGTTTGTGTCACCATTAAAAGGTCATATCAATTTAAATGAAGATTTTTATTAACTAATAAATTTTCGGTACACTTTTTTTAACACAAGTATTATCGTTATATGATTTTTGATTTCCTCTGTTACGTTGAGTTTTTCTGACCGTGGATGCAAAATATTATAAGAGATATTGACAAGACAATTTTCAGAATAAATCTTGATTGTAATTGAACCTTTACAATCATAATGCTCAATATGCACCTCAGTATTACGTTGTTTTGAAATATCTTCAATCTTTTTGGAATGTCTACGTAATTCATTTTGAGCATTACACCAATATATAAATATATTTATATCCGTCACCATTACTAATTGCATTAACTATCAGATTGGCCATATATAAATTTTTATCCTTTGCTATAATATCGATTGGAATTTTCTCATAAATTGAATTCAATTAATAATGAATTGAAGTTGAAATGTTTTGTCCTTCAAGGTTTTTATTCAAGTTTTCATATTTCAAAAGTACATCATAATATAATCTGTAACATTAACAAGATCAAATGAATTTCTTTCCATCCATATAATCATCAATTTCATATCTTTTTTTTTGACTTGAAAAGTATTCACACAACAAGATATATAACGAGTTCAAATATCATTAAAATCTGCAAGTGATCGAATACAAAGACATCTGGAATATATTTGTGTTTCATTCGAATTTTATTTTTTACGTTTTCCATTAGAAAAATGATAAAAGGTCGATATTAATTATTTTGATTAAAAGAATTATCTGAGCAATAATAAAAGTAACAAAGTATTAAAGATGCAGACTTGTTTATTTTCAGATGCAACTGCTTTTTCAAATGCGAAATATCAATCATTAATATTGAGTTCTAGAACGCATTTATAATTAATATTATATGTTACTTTATTAATCTTACTAATTTAGAATCTCTAGAATTAGTTATGATGAAATGGGAATAATGATATCTACAAAATAATAAAATATGATATAATAATATTAAATGAATAATATGACAAGCCAAATACTATATTAATATTATATTATGCTTGCAGATAATAAAGAATACATTTCCACTAATAATATGATAAGAAAAAGAATAATAAAAATATAAAGATATATATATATAACAAGTTATATCAACAAATAATTATAGAAACTCATATGAAAAATTCTTCTGGAATGAAATAAATATTATATTAAGATGAATATTCTGCAAAAAATTATCTCAAAATCAGAAAACTCAAATAACTTAATACTTATCATATGAAAAAATCTCATATTTATAATATATATAAATTTAACTAATTAATAAAAAAAATAATTTGTGAAGAAGAAAAAAAAATAAAAATTCTATGTATAGTATTGATTATTATATATATTGATATGGATCAGTGCAAAAAGATTTGTATCTCAATATAAAAATTAATAATTGCTTCTAATAAAAATCATTCAAATTTT